TCCATGTCCCATCCTCAAGTCACAGCAGCTTCTATGGAGTCAGTGCTTAATCTCCATTTTTCACTCTTCTCCTGACCTATGCTGTATTTCCCCTCTCTCTCAGGAGGTCACAGCCTTTACACCACTCAGTCATACAAAAATTCTTCTGGCTCGACTTCCTAGAGAGAACGTGGAAATTCTCTGCGAGACTCTTCAGAACATTTTGATGATGAACTCTTGAACATCTGAATTAAACAATGTTTATTACCTAAATACACTTGGGTAGATCTTCAAGGGGAAAATTCAAAAACATACCCAGGTCAAAAATACCCTAAACTTCCTGATAAAAACACACCCAGGTCAAAAATACCCCACACCTCCAGCATTTCACGGAATTATCGCTGCAGATTTAAGCAAAAGCAAAACAACATCATCACAGCCTTGAGCATCCAAACACTGGTGAAATCTCTTGGCATGAAGTTAAACAGCTAAAAATTAGCAGGAAAGATGCCCAACCATTACATGTTGAACTAAGTAACACTTCAGAATTATTTTAAGCAACTGAGGATGAGACTGTGCTTGGAACCTTGATGTTGAGTGGCACTGAATAAGGTGTTTGCTTTTAAATACAGGCACTTGTGTATAAAAACACAATGTTGTAATTACAAAATTAATGTTTTACCTGAGAGAGGCTACTCTTTTCTTTAAGTTAACCTCCCACAAAGTTATAAAAGACATACAGAAAGATCTAAAGCACATTCTTCCTCTCAGTATTTTCCTCTGCTGCAGCACACTGCTAAAATAAGAACAACTTCCCAACACCACCTCGGATACTTGTCCTTGCTGCTGGCAGGTGAGATTACAGACACGCTTTTTCACTTTGAACCAGCTGATTTCACACTTCTTTACCTCTCTTTCTTTAATCTAAAAGGCATATTTAACCTCAACCACACCTTTGTTGTGCTCCCAGCTTAAAGGCATAGACTATTTACTCATCTTTAACATGATTTCAAAGCGATTCTGTTAAATGCCCAGTGAAATATTTCTGAAGGTGTCCTCTTTCTTTCCTATTTGGTTTAAGAGGACAAGATGACAACTCTAATTATTTTTTTTCACAAGTTTTAGAGAAGTCAGACCCCAACAATAAATGTTGCAAGGAAGGATTTCCTGAGATATAGGGAGATTCTTCAGCTATCACATAACAGCTTCCCACTTTCCTATGGAAGCATGAATAATTATTTTAAATGGAATAAACACAGTTAAAGATGAACCAAACTGAAAGGCTTATTTTATATATTTAGGTTGGCATTCTAATCTCAGAAAGCATGGCCATAACTCATCAGGTAACACCAACCTGCTATCACAGTAACTCGTCAGTTGTATCATAGTGTGATCACTCTCTGTTAGGAAAACCAAATTTCCTAGATTTTGGTTCTCTTACTAATCTTGCATCTCATTTGTTCCATGTTCACTCAGTTATAGCACTTCAGCAACTATTCATAGTAAAACATGGGGGTAACAGCCATCATAGTGACTATTATTGGTTTGGTTTGTTTTAAAGGACAAGCTAATGTCATTTAAATGTTAACATCAAACATTAAGTTCACTGAAAAGTGTTCCATTCATGACAATTTATGAAAACCTGCTTGAAACAAAAGTGAGGATGTGCTTAAGTCTGCTTGGAAGTCCCTGCATGAAGCCCTGTCCCACCACAGGCACTCTGCTGGGGTATCACCACTTGGCACGAGAGATGTGCTCTCAGAAAGTGTTCCACTGACATGGAAAAAACCAGCAAATTCCTTAAATTTCCTGTCAAATTTGACTCAAATGCATTACTTGGGCATGTGCTCTTTCAAACACGAGAATGAACTCAGCAGAAACACCTCCCAGGTATTGGGAGCTAAACCGGGGCATGTAATTCGAAAGTAGGAAAAAATAATAATGAAAAAAAAAAAAAAGAATAAAGGGAGGGGGTGCAAAAAACCAAACAACTTTTTTTTTTTTTTTTTCCTGTGCTGACAGTGCCATAAAGCCCAACCATAGATCCTGCAACCATTTCAAAGGCAGGAAAGGCTGAGGCCTTCACTGTGGTGTCCACTGGCTTTGAAGTGCCGAAAGCAGCTGCTCCCAGCAGATAGGAACTGTGGTGCTGCTGGAGTTATTTTTTTTTTTTCTTCAAAATATACTTTCAAATCGAACAGCTGCAAGTAGAACAAAGTTGAGCTAAAGTATATTTAAAGAAAAAAAAAAAATCCCCCAGTTTCTCTCTAAGAGTGTTCTCAGTGGATACTTCAAAAGCAAGTGGCACTGAATCAGATGAATGAACCAGGAGAGACGTGTGAGAGCTGAAACCAAATACTGCAAGATCCAAAAGTTCTTCTTCACTTTATTAATGGATTTCAATGCATTTGAAAAGTTAACAAAATATCAACTGCCATGGGTTTGCATGGTTTTGTCCTAATTCTTTTTCAAGCAAAAACAAACAAACAAACAAACATAAAGATCAATATATATCAGGTTATTTGTTGTTAAAAATATCAGATAAATATCAACATATCACTGTGTCTAAGCTTCAGGCAGAGCAATCTTTCAGCCCCACAACCAACATGTTGAGAGCAGTAATCTCTTGGAAATCAGTATTCCAGGAGAGTCCTGTGAAACACAGGCAACTATTCCTATAAAGCAGAGAGGTGAAACCACAGCTCTCAAGTCCCTCCATTTCCAAAACATTTCTCAGATTGGAGAACATGATAACACATCAGTTAATTTGGTTCTCCATTACCAATTTCATTAAATGTATGGGCAGGTGAATTGTCCAGAGTGCCTTCAGCACCACCCCTGCCACTCGCTGTGCCAAACAGAGCTGAGGGTCAATTTTCCTTCCCTTTGTGTGTAAATTCCATTTGACAATTAGATTCAGACACTTGAGGCAGAACATCTCAAAGCAATTACTACATTTTTCAGGTAAAATATTCAGGATTTTGGTTGGCTGTCATTTCCAAGTGGAAGTCTGTTAGAGCCCTGGTCAAAATGTATCCCCAGCTCTAATTTACTGCCCTATTTAAACAGTTTCAATCAGCCCATTCCTCCCCAAGTAACAACCAAAGAAATATGCAGTAAAACGAGGCAAGGAAAAGTGTGCTTTAAAAAATGCTTTAGGAGCTCTGAAGCATAAACAGAGGGTAATACAGAGAAACAGAAGCTGGAACTACTGAAAGGAAATTTTAAGTGTGGAAGGACTGAGCTCATCCCGCTCCGTGGTGGGGCTGAAGGGGCTTTGTGCTGCAGAAAGGACCATACAAAAGGAACATCATTTCCAGTGATAACCCACTGCAATCTGCAGGAAGGGTCACATATTTTTCATGCTCACAAGTTTTCAAAGAACATTCCAAATGAAGTACAAAGAGAAACAAATTTTTAAAAAGGGCACAAACAGGATTCCACTGAAAATTCTTCTGAGGCTCTCATTGTTTAGCTGTTAAGTGCTGAAACCCTTTCCTTGGGTTCCAGTGATGTTTCATAAAGCCTAGCTGTTCTTTCTTACAGTAAAAAGCAGCTATCCTAAATAAAATAAAAGGGAAGCAGTAAACATCTCCTCTGAGTGGAAAATGCTTTCACTGATGTTTACCACAATATCAACATTGTTACAGAGGAGCAACGGAAAACGAGTCACCAAAACCATTTTAACTCTCACATTAATTTCTTGGGTTTGGGGTTTTTTCATCCACTCTCCAGAAGGTGTGAATATAATAGGGGTGAGGTTATAAGAAAACACATAAAAACAAACCATGACAACACAAGACATTATCATTTGCCTTTAGTGAGTAAAGCCAGCTGAGTACTGGGTAGAAAATTTTATCTATGGTTTGGTAGATCTTACCATGGATAATAAAGAAAAAATTACCATTTGTAGGTAGGAACAAGAATGTCCTAAATCCTTATACGTTGCAGGTTAGTATTTACCTCTATCAATCATGTTCCTAAGACTGGGAACAAAATCCTGGCAACCCAAGTGGTGACACTCACTGACAGTTCTGAGTGAGGGCAGGGAAAATACTTTGATCTGAACCAGCAAAGTCCCTCCTACACAAAACATGCTACTGTTCCTCCCGAGCACAGGCAAAGGTCTCTCCCAACACCTACCAAAGTCCTCTTGTTCCTTAATTCCTTGAGAAAGCCCCTTCCAGAAGGACCAGAGTAGCTCTTGTGCCAAAGCCAACTGCAGTGGTTCCTCCTCTCACAGCACAGAGGATAAAAAGCAATGAAACCACACTGCCCTGGTGGAAATGCAAACTTGTATCCACCTTGATGAGGGAGAACTTTTATGGATTAACCACATCATTCCCGGGAGGAACTCAAAAAAAGGTTTAATCCTTTACCAGGTGTTACCAACAGTGGCCACTTTACTTCCATGACCAAGTAGCACCTCACACCAGCTGTGATGGGTTGTTCCAGCTGTGCAGCTCTCAAACCTCTATCGTGCCATCATTTGTCTACTTCTACTTCTGCTTTTTTCCCTTTACACTCCATGACACCACTGAACTCAACTTTCTTGTCTCCACCCAAATGTTTCCTGAATATTCCCCAACCCTGAAATCACTTTACAATGAAGAAAACCACTATCAGTGGGCCAAAACAAGCAGTTGGAGGAACACGCCCCGCGCTCAAAATGATAAAATGAATAAACTGCTGCTTCTCGGCAAGAAGAAAAACAGATAATGCATCAAATAATTTAATCTGGTGATTATGAAAATAGGTGTTGCCACCTGGAAGCCTGGGAAACAGTTTGAAAGAGTCAGAGGTACAAAGGATGGCGAAGAGGAAACAAAAATATTTTCTGGGTAGGCTCTTCCTCCTCCATCCCCCAATAAATCAGCTCTGAATGTCTATAAATTGGTGTCTTTAGAGGAAGGACAGAAACACAGAGTGAGAACAGGGCTCAGCCTGCCCCAGGAACTGACCCACAGCTGCAGGAAGGGCTGTCCCTCCTCCCCTCCACCTGAAGGAGCAAAGGGACTGACCTGTTGTTCATATCTTTTCTTGACCTCCTCCAACTGCCAGGAGAATTCTTCGGATTGCTTCTCCCGGAGCAATTTTGATCTGCTTAGATCAGCTTCAACCTCTGCCATCTACGAGGTAAAAGAAAGGGAATATTTAATTTAAAAAAAAAAAAAAAAAAAAAAAAAGAAAGAAGAAGGTATAGCTTGAAATGTTCTGATGTTTCTAGGGTTGTTCGTAAACCATCAAAGAGGAGAATATCACTTGTTGGGAATGGTAACAACATCACTTGTGGTGAAAATGAATATTCAGTCACTACAGGATTATTAGTTACCCACAGGGCAGAGTGATCATTTATGTCATGCCACTCCCTGATTACAAAGTATTGACTCAGTTTTTCACTCAACAGTGGTGAACATCCCATCAAAATTAAGTGAATACTTTTTCTAGGCATATTTAAGACTCAAATATATTTCACTCAAAAATACACTGCCTGTGGAAATTCAAGGGAAATCGTGTGCGAGTCAGTGCATAAACTGCACATTTAAACTAAGTTTACATTAAATCAGAAAATAACTTAAAAGAGAATTATTTGGCTGCAAGTGAAGTCCTCTGAAGATAGTCATCGCCTCTGAATAATGAGTCCCACAGATTCCAGCACACAGCATCAAGGAAGCAATTTCACAACTCAATTAACAAAGGCTTTTGTATCAAAAGCACAACTGTTAGCTGTACATCAGGCATGTTTCCAGGGGAATATATATATATATATATTACTATGCTGCAGTGCATACTCATCAATTACTTTTAGATCTAGATCCCACCACAAGCAGTGAATAAACCATCCCCCTACAAAAATGTCTCCCTAAAAGAGAGAAAAGGGTGCAGGGGTCTGGAGGGGCAGTGCTGCCACAAGCCCATCTGCTACACAGAAAGAAGAAACACACGAATTCCTGAACCACAAGCCAAAATCCTGCTTGGCCTAAGGGAGTGCTCAGCCTTCAAACAGATGTCTGTGCCAACTGGCCTGGACATCACTCCCAAGCCAGGAAAGAGGAGAAAAGGCAGCACTCGGAGAGGGAAAAGCATTTTATTGGAAAGTAGTTCAGCAAGAGAGGAAGGTGCAGGACTAGGAGCAGTTGGCCAACTAGAAAGTAGTAAAATAGAATAGAAAGGAAGCAGCTCTTGAACCTCACTGTACTATCTGCCATTAAGAAAAGGGACTTCAGTGAATATTTTATGAATAATTTCCTCCCACTCCAGCTTACTCAAATTGCACATCCATGGCCATATTTTACTCAGGTTAATAAAACCCAGAAAAATAACACATCTTGTTACTGTATTAAAGGATTTTTTTTTTTAACAGAATGAAAACATCCTAAAATGTGAAATAATAGAAACATATGCAAAGATTCCTTAAATCTACTGGTTTTTGTGGTTTACTCATTAGGCCACATTCATATATTTCCTGTGAGTGCAATGAAAGCTCCTGATCATTATTTGCCAAACCCAGGAAGCCCCAGATCTAAAGTACCAATAACACAGCCTATGTATTTGTTCCTCTTTTTGTTGGTTACTATAGGGGGAAAAAAAAAGCAGATCCTGCAGTTAAAAACCATCACTCCCCCATCAGTGGGCATCAGGTGACTCTTCATAATAATCACAAGCTTGACAAAATAGGAAGCAGATGGCAAAAGAATATCACACAGCCAGACTAATGAATCAAATATTGATTACAAGAACTGAAAGTGCCAGACCCCATCCCACTCATCCCCGTAATTAACTTTACCACACCCCAAAAATGGCTTTAGAAGCCCAGTATTTCTAATGTGGTTAAAAGTGAGGCGTTGCTATGGCTACTGCAGTTGTTGTTGTATAAGTAACACATCCCACTTAACCACAAAGCAGAGAATTTTCCACTATGTTCCAACGTATCAGGTGATTTATCGAAAGATTATGTGGATGCAGAATAATGGGAAGGGCCAAAGCTCTGAAGAGAGCCACAGCACTGTTCCTTTGATGTACTTCCTTGGACCTTGGCTCCTGCAGAACAGTATTGCTCAACTCTACAAAACCATTTACTATTTCTAGATCTTAGCAGGCAAGTAGGGACAGAGTGAACCTATGGCTGATTCATGGAATCAGCAAAGTTTGCTTGCAAAATTTCCCGGAAAACAGCAAAATTCTAAAAGAAATCTGTCATTTTAAAATTACAAGTGACTAAGTTTTCTGAACTCTTTTGCACCTCCTTTAGGTTTGGATTGGTTTTATTTGCTGGAGGTTTTTGAAATTTTATTGTTAAACTTTCTAGAACGAGACTATATCCCTTTTGGAGCAGAAATAGGGTATTACTTCAAGTCATAAATTGCAGGAGAGTTGTGTAGTACAGAAAATGTCAGATTAAAATTGCAGGATTTGTTGTATTGCCCTCGTGGGTCCAGTTTGCTGAACACATGTTGCCTTTTTAAGTTTGCTCTTGCTTTTTACTTCCCAAATTCTATTATTTGCTGTCTGCACGGGTCTTAAAAATACCAGCAATGAAGACTTCCATAAAAGTAATTTTGTGACAACAACAAAAAGAGAATTTCCTCAGTTCTAAGCCAGCATCCTGAGCAATCCATTCCAGTGCCAGTCTGCAGCACCCTCCTGTCAGCAGCAAGGGTGGGTTACAGTAGGTGAGTTTGGAACACTGACTATATGGTCAGGCAGAATTAAAAGCTGGAGTTATGCTTGGAGATCTCAACCACACAAGGGAGTTAAGGAAACATCCCTCTCCTCCCCTTCTGTTTGATCACCTGTTGCTTGTTCCTCATTTCAGCCCCTGGGCTGCATTTGTCAAGTCCCAGGGGGGATGGTTTAACTCCTGTTTGCTCTGTAAGAAACTGGAGCCATTAAAATCTTGCTACTTCAAGTCCCTGCTTTTTAGGGACAGAAGAATGGGTTTTTCCATCCTGTGCACATGACTGCCAGCAGCCACAATGGCCCTGCCCCTGCTTGGGCTCAAACTGATTACAGGAGCTCATTAATGGGAGACAGAGTCGTTCAGAAAAGAGTAGGAAGAGACACACATTTAAGTGGAAAATGACAAACGTTGTTCCATAGGGTGTATAAACTAACACTTTATACTCTCACTCCTGAAAAATCCCTAATCAGTATCATAACTGCAGATATCTTTATAACAATGACAATTCTGGCTTTGTTAGAAAGATGAAACAACTGCCACCATCCCTTTCTGACTTGCTGGCAAAGACACTACATTGTGAAAGATTTTGATGTAGCACTCTCAAGTGGAGCATGTTTCTGGCATTATAAGATCAGAATCCGCTATCCCACTGCGCCAGAGTTTCAGAAAGGCTGGCATTGTGACCTCCTCACCCGCTGTTTCATTTCAGCAGAGTCTTTCTCTGAGTTCAGCTCCACCTGCCGCTTAAACTCCTCCAGGGCAGCGCCTGCCTGCTGGGCCTGCAGCCTCTGTACCTCCGTCACCCGCCTCAGCTGCTCCTCCTTCTCCCTAGAAAGTCACAGAAAATTTTCAGAGTTCAAGTATCAAATAAAAGAACAAGTGTGCTGGTGTAAAAGAGAGGCCTTTAACCCGATCAGTTGAAAATAGTATTCAGATTTCAATTTCCTGTCCCAGCTTCTGCCCAACTTCCCTTGGCAGGGCTTTGAAGAAGGGAATGGAAGGCCCGAGTTATTTTCGCTTTCCCCGGTTGAATTTCGCATGCCCAAACCCGGCCTTCAGAGCTCACAACAATACCTCCATCCTCACAGCCTGTGTTGATTTCAATGCTTCACTACCTGCTGGAGAACCCCCTTCCTTAATCTCACCTTTAAATGAGATTCCATTAACGTAACTTAATAGTAATAATATATAATTAATAACAAACGAGATTTGATTAAATTATATTTAACACCCCCCCCCCCAATATTTAAACAAACTCCTTTTGACATGATCACTTACTCCCATTAAAAAAAAAAAAAAAAAATTTATCCCAGTGCCATCTTTGCTCAGACAAGGTGCAGGATTATTCCCTGCTTGTCATATCTCAAAATGCAGAGCGGGGTAATGCGTGACACGTGGTACCTTCTTAATCTATTAGAAACCCGTAACACTGTAATACCTATTCAGCCTTTGCAGATGTTAAACCTCTATGCAAAGATATTTTACATGAACAACCTATGCTATTTGGCATATTAAACTCGAGACACCTACAGAAACCAGGCTGGGTTTCTTCAGACACGATGGTTTATCAATAGCAACGGATCTATAATATTTTATGCACACGAAAAAGTAGAGATGGACGACATATTGTCACAACACCGACAAAAACTCTGGTAAACTGTAAGTATTTAAGAAGTTCTGATGTGATTCCTCAAACAGAAAGCAACCAGGCAGTGTTTATAACTCTCTGTGACACGTTTCTGTTCCCACAGGTCAGAGGAGTTGCCTGACTGTGTTAGGACACACGACGGTGGCATCGCTGGACAAAGCTGGCTCCACCCATGGCTTGTAACAGAAGACACATTCAAACAGACCTGGGGCTGACATTTTCATTCTACAGGCAGAGAGGAAGCACCTCACTATAAATTTCCCACTTTGACAGAAATTATTTCCATATAAAACAAAGACTCTGACACATAAGAGACGGAAAAGCCCAGCTAATTCATCCAGTCTGTCACCTTGCCAGCACTGAAGTAGCTATTCCAGCACTGAGTGAGCCTTTCAGAAAGGTCAGGAAGCTGCCAAGCCCAAAGTTACAGTATTCACATCCTCTTCTGTGGTTTTCAGACCAGACTTTGACAATGGGACAAAGAACATAATCCTACATCTTCACAAAGGGGCAGTTTGCAGAGAAGGAGAGCAGAGTAATTCCATTAGCAAAGAGATCAAAGAAATGCCACAAGCCCTGAGTCAGTATATTACTGTTTATTTTTATAGTTTTTTTCATGATGCATATTTTAAAGAAAAATAAATTCTTTTGGTACTTTACAGTTGATGGAATAATTGAGACGTAGGGAGACTGTTCTTTTCCTTACAGGAAAAGGAAAATACCTTTCTTACCCAGCAGAAATGAGGAAAACAGAACAACATCCTGTATCACATTTCTGGTGATAATTGTTTAGGGGTTTTGGGTTTGTGCTCATAGAAGACCTGTGAAAATTTCTTTAAATTTGCTAGAGAGTATCCTATCACATCCACATAGATAATGCTTTATTTTCATCAATTCCATTTCCTAGAGTCCTTTGAGGAGGAAGCATAATCCATCTATTAATCTAAAGTACCCTATTCTCCATTCATTCATAAAACAATAACAATTACACAGCAAAAAAACAACAAACCAACATTTCACACCCCCCCCATCTAAATTCACGTGGCAAAACGATCATTTAGGATTTAAATTTCTACCACAGAGGATCCAAAAGATCAAAACTGCGAGTGCAAAACTCCTCCACCATTTCTCAGAATGGGCACAACAAATGATGCTTCCAGAGGCTGAAGTGCTATGGAGAGTTCATTTATCCATCAGCTCCAGCTGCAAAGGTGTTTGGCTCAGTTATCCCCCTAAACCCACGTGTGCCAGGGAGCTGCTGAATACAGATATTTTTAAGTTCACAGCTGTTTGACACTGAATTATGGTGAGTACATCGCCCTCTGCCCTTCCACAACAAAATCTACCTCAGAAAGAAGAATTTCTGAGAGGTTGAATTACGTTCTGAGACCCTCACACAGCTCAGCATCCTGAAAGGGAGGACAGGTGGTCAGGCTCACCAGCAGAGCTCTGTCCACGTGTGTTCCCTTGGAGGGACCACAGAGAGGGTAAAACCTTCGCTCCTTCTCCCCAAGATCCTTAACTCAGCACAAACAAACCTCTCTCCCTGCAAAATACATCTAATAATTCCACTCCACACTAGAAATAAAACCAAAAATCAAAGCTTATTCAAACACATCCACACCGACAAGTGTCACGAGACAGTTTTGGTCCAGTCAGATGGAAACACAACAAATCTAAACACAACAGGACAAGACATCAGTCCTCGTGCTCTTAGTGAGGCTCCAAATCTATGCATCTTCTTCCCTAGGAAGATATTTTTATTTTGAAATATTATGACGTAAACTTCTAAGAATCTGGTTTTCTGCACCTTCCTTTCTTTTAAGGACTTAATCCCATGAATAAATGCAATGTCTCATTATAACCAGGAATAAAACTTCATTTTTAAGGGATGTGGGAGCCAAAGCTCTCTACTTTTTGTGCAGTTCAGATTTGTACAGAAGCTTAGAAAACCTGTACAACAATGGCCCTCGGTTCACAAACATAAGAAAAGCTTCACTTTTTTTTCCCAAGACACCAAGCAATGTGCCTTGCATGAAGCACTAAAATATTCACTTTGAAGATTATTTTTTTTTTTTTCAGTTGGACAAGTTGTGGGGCCCAATACAACACAATTACATCACTTAAATCCCCTAAAGCTGAGCCGGCCTGAATGTAAAAATAGAGTGAATTTACTCCTTGGCCCCAATTTTAAAAGCAGCACACTCCTTTTGTTTCAGCATATAAAGGATACAGCAATGGAATCAGGAATCCTACACAGCACAAACCATCCCAGGGAAAGTTGACTATGAAGTCCAGAGCCTCAATTTCAGAAAGCAGCACTCTGAAATGTACTGATAAATAGGAAATATAAACATCTTATGTATTTTCTCTTCATGCTTAATCCTAAACATTTGCTTTGCTTCCCAAAACGTTTTCCAAGAGGTAACAACTGAACACACTGAGACATTACAGCGTTGCAAGTCACGTTAATGAAACAAGGGGCAATCCAGAGATTTACAGGAGAGGTTAATTAAACTTGGGATGTTGCAGCAAATGTTGGATGAACCAACATGTTACTCACAGGGTTCCCACCATTGCCTTGTACCAAAGCAAGGGCTCACCAACAGCACCCAAGAGCAGGAGAGGTTCCTGTCTGGGTCTCAGCCTCTTCAATAAATTAAATTAAAACCCTTTAGACATGAAGTGTAAGCACACCTGTGAACAGAATGGACACAGCCAAACTTCCCATGCAAAAGCACATTTCAGGAGTTTCACCTGAGTATCTTCTGTGTGTATACAGGCACAAGGACCCATTCAGTACACACACATATATTTCACTTTATATAGGGAAATATAAGCTGACCCACAATCCTGCTCCAGATCCCAGACTGCCCCTCCCATGGAGGTGCTCCAGCACCATCAGGACTCTACCCAATTACAAAAATTAACTCAATTTACACCCACATTTTAGTGCCACAACCACTAAAAACCACTCCACACAGCAGACCACTCCTAGAACGCTGACTATTTCAACTCCATAAATAACGTGTCAAGGCCTAAAGTACCACGTGTTTGTAAAAGAGGGGGTTGCTGTGTTAGTTTATTGTTACACAAAAACGCTTCAGTAGAAATGCCAGATCTCTGAAACACGCAAAGAACAACCCTGCTTTTCCTGCTCTACTGTTTTTTGACAAATAACGATGCTGAAGTGCCAGCTTTGGGCCCAAACACACCCACCCAGCCGTGCCTGGAGTATCCGACTGCACAGGCAGATATTCCAGGAGACAACCAGGGCTCTCCTACCACGGCAGCACCCAGACATATGGAATGTGTGCAGAGCACTTCTTTTTGGTGGGGAGAGGAAGAAAGACAGTGTGAAGTCATTCAAGCGGAATGATAACTAAACCAAAGCCAGATCAAAGCAGCGAAGAAGAAAGACTGAAATGTGAAGCTGAAATATTTATTGCCTTCAAAACATCATCCCTATCCTGTCCCTGGGCACTTTAATATTTCGAAGTTGTTAGAAGGCATTCTAACTTGTTTCAGCATTTCAAAGAAATAAAGCCAAAAACACAAAGCCAAGAATAATTCTATCGTTCGCTCCCCAATTTTAAGAATAAGATGAGTTTGTCTTTATGAGAAAAAGCATGAACCCACTTATAAATTGTTTACAGTTTGCATATTTTGAGATGTTAACATCAAAAAGCTGGTCTGCATTCCTTCAAGTAAGCTACAACAATGAATATTTACAATACAATTATTATTTTAAACTACACACTTATGTTTTAAATAAATCATGAGATAACATTAACAACTAAACCACTACTTAAAGCCATTAATGAATTCAGAGTAAATAATATTCCACGTGCATAGCATCACACAGAAATAGGAAGAATAACGCCTTACATTCAAAATTAATGGCTCACAAATTAACCAGACACTGGTTAAACACACTAATAATGATTATAACTATTTCTCATTATAATAATGACAGGGTCCTGTTGTGCTAGGTGCTGTGCAAACAGAATAAAAACAGCCACTGGGAAATGATGAATGAGATGTGGCTTAAGAGGCTGGGCCAGTGTTGTAAATGTGGCTGGAAAGGAAAACGTTATAATTTTGTCTCAACACTGCAGGAACTGTCTCCAAGATTCAGATACACCACATATAGGAAAGACCACAGAGGCTCAGTTATCAA